TCCACTGGCCACCATGAGGAGAAGCTGCCAACTGCACAGACATCCCAAGCTCATGTCCTGAGAAAATGCAAACGACATCAATTCATGAAAGTGTCATATATTTTGAGACCAAATGGTGTTAAGTTTTGGGGGGGAATTAATCATTTGCTTTTTCTGGTGACATGAGTTTGAGATGTCTTTGCCAACTGCAGCCAGTAAATTGTTGTATTTTCATGTGAAAGATGCAGAGCTTTATGTTTACCTTCTCAGAGCCTGATGAGGGGAAAATATCTTGAACCACTGCAACAGATTGGAAGGAAAATTTGTGGCAGTAAATTGAAATCACATTTTTATTTTTTCAAAATAAAACATTTAAATGAGACCCATTTAAAAAATATACCTTCAGGTTGGTCCACATCATTATCTGAGTTGATACAGATTTTCTCCAGTGCTGAACCTAAATCTTCAGCAGAAATGTCAAATATCTGTTAAAGCAAGGATCATTTATTAGTGGTAAACTTTCAAGCCTTTCACTATGACTGTAAAACATTCCCAACCAGATGGTGATGAGAAGAACCAAATTGCCAACTAGGGTTGCTTTTGGATAAAACAACAAATACTCAGAGCTAAAAATATGAGAAATATGAGCTACAAATTACAGAAAATTGATGTTTGAAATGGTTCATGTCAAATAATTGATGAACTGTGTGGGTTTCCTCCTACCTGATTAAATTTGCTGATCACCATGACAATTTCTGAAATAATATAATTACCTTCACAGAGCCTGATGAGGGGGAAATATCTTGAACCACTGCAACAGTTAAGAAGGAAAATTTGTCACAGTAAATCAAAGAAATCAACTTTGTATTTTTTCAAAAGAATAAAGCATTTAAACTAGACACATTTAAAAATATACCTCCAAATTGGTCCATGTCATTCTCTGAGTTAGTAGAGATTTCCCAGTCTGAATCTTTGGCAGAAATGTCAGATATCTGTTAAGGCAAGGATTATTTAATGGAAATAAACTTCTATGCCTTTCACAATAAGTATCAAGACATTCTCAATCAGATGGCGACGAGAAGACATTGCAGATTTATGAAAATTAAGGGTTTCCACTGTCCACCATTTGGAGAAGCTGCCAACTGCACAGTCATCCCAAGCTCATGTCTCAAGAAAAAGCAACCAACTTCAGTTCATGAAAGCGTCATACATTTTGTGACCTAGTGTTTCGGGGGAATTAATCATTTGCTTTTTCTGGTGACGTGAGCTTGAGATGTCTTTGCCAACTGCGGCTAGTTAATTGTTGTATTTTTCTGAAAAAGATACGGAGTTTTATGTTTCGAACTCAAAGTATACTAAAGCCTACTGGAGTAAACCATAAATCAGAATTGTTTCATTTAGCTTTCACTTCCATCATGATTTATTTTTCATGTCCTCATTCATTTAATTTTACTTTCTTTCAAGAACATAATTCCCAAATATTGTTTTTATTCCGCCCCAATTGCTGAAATATTTTGGGCAACTGGGGCGGAAGTAAGCGTTTAAAGATTACCCTCAGCCAGCGAACTTATGAAGTGCAGTCTGGATATTGTTTTGTTTTTCAACCACTCGTATACTATCTCTCGGACATCCTTTATGCTATCCAGAGCCTCCTTCAAGTCACTATCGGCTTCCTTGATTTCTATCGAGTTAACGATTGACTCCCCAGTTCAGGTTGTTTGGGATGTACCAGCTCCGATAAGGCTCAGCCGTGCTAGTAAAAGTGGCGAGGCAGCTCCTGCTGTCACTATTGTTACAATTACTGCGAGGATGCTCGCAACACCTCCCAATATGCTACTAGAATGACCTACCTTGCCTTCCATCCTTACATCGTCAAGTTTATCCGCCCCTGTAGGGTGACATTGGACAGCTTCCCGTATTTTGGGAAACATAACTTCCGCCTTTTCTGGAAATTTTTCGGCAACTTCTGTATCCTGAAGTGACTGGACATCATGCACATCAACGACCTCTAAGTTCATCACTCTCGCTAAATTTTCACCCCCATTCACTAAGTTTGAGCAAAGAGAAAAAAAACATTCATGACTTTGTCACATCTCAAATTTGTAGAGTTAAGTTGCAGTTGTAAGTCGTTACCATCTCCAAAATGTACATAGTACATTTAAAACATGGAAAGTTGTGCAAATATAGCAGATACTGCAAATTAGTTTATAAAAAAAGACAAAATAATTCCCTTTACTAATTGGGCGCGTGAAATTCTTTCAAGCGAAGGCAAAATTATTGATTTCCCTTGCAAAGCAATTGAAGTTGAGAAAAGGGGAAGAAAAATTTCAAGGTTATGAAAAAAATCATTCCATTGATGAAATTATCAGATTGGTATCCCCATAATATTAGTCTGTTGCGGTCGAAATCTATAGAAGGGGTATGAAAGAACGGTTAAACCTAAAAAATTTGAATGAAACTTTTATCATAGCTCTGCTTGAAAGTACATTGCTATTTCTTAAAAAGAAACCCACGTGGTAAAAAACAACATCAACTCAAACCCAAGGTCAAACAGGATAATTATGTGTAATCAATGAGCTGTGGCCTCATTCATCAAGAACATTCACCTCTTTTTGGAAAAAATTATCATTACAGCTGTTAAATGTTTTTCACAGTAGTTGTGTCTCAATTTAAAAAGATCAACAGCCAAATGTTAATGCATGCAGAAAAGCGCTTCAATTATTTTCTAAACATGAAAAGCCTCTTGATGAAAGAAAATATCAATGCTAAGGAATTCGTTGGTTAGGGAGTATTTGTAAAATGGTCTAAAATGAAAAGGGAAAAACCTTTGTTTGACGTAATGGAGATGTCATCTTCAGAATCCGAACTTTGGGGCTCCTTAGAAGATGTCTCTAAATCTCCTAAGTACCCTGCATCCTCTGACAGATCACTTGTGAGGTCACCGCCTTCATTCTCGGTGTTACATTCTGCTTGGTTAAAGGGAGACGAAAACCATTATGAGAGAATTCTCACGTAAAAATAAAAAAAGAGGAGATTCTGTATGGATTGTGTTGAGATAAAAAGACGCTCCTCATTACACCACACAATGATCACAAATTCAGCTATGTTTGATCGATATGTACATTGCCATATGTTGTAATATTTCAACGCCGCAGCTGAAAGAAGTTTTAAGTATCATTAAATGTATGATGGAACTGTGGCATCCCAGTATAAATATTTCGCGATCACGGTTTCATCACTAACTTAGACTATTTACATGGGAGTGATCATTCTTTTGCCGTGATTACGTCGCGGGCAAGTGTGATGTGAGATTGATCACACCAGTGATAAAAATGTGTCACAGTAAAAATATTTTGTAATCACATTCACAGTCATCATGAATTACGCCCGCAGTCAAGGTAGTGATAACGTCTCTGAAAAGCGTGATCAGAGTGATCACAACAGTGATGAGGGTGTATACCGGTAAAAATATTTTGTAATCACAGTCACAATCACATCCAACACCGCTCGTGATTACGACAGCGCAAACTCTTTTGCCGTGATAATGTCTCTCGCATGCATAGTAAGAGCGATTACTACAATGATAAGGGTGTTCACACCTAGTGATCAAGGTTTAGACCTTTATTTTTTTGTTGTCACACGATTCTAAGAGGAGATTCAAGTTGTAATATTCTTTAAAATCCATCCACCCTTTGAAAGGAAAATCTGAAATCCTTGTGAGGATAATAACACATGGCTTTCTGTGGACATATTTCACCCTATACCCAATCGTAACAAATTGATACCAATCATTTTTATTTTGATAGTCGAGCTTTGACTTATTTTGTTTATTTTAACTCTAGGCGCAGTAGACATACACTATTTCATTGGTGTAGAAGTTACATGAGTTAAATGTGAACCCAGAAATGAAATTTGAGCATAAAGATTTTTACTTGGTATGTCCAAGCTAACCCTGTCCAAGTTACTTTTGTCACGGAATTTAAATCATCTAGAAAAAAATCGCCATTGCATATCATCAGAGCTAACTGACTTTTTTAGGTGCCATATTCTCGCTTCTGCTTAGGAATAATCTCTGACAATGACGTAATTTTCTTGGCGATTGAGATCAGTATTATTGCTCAGGTTTATCGAGATGCACGTGCTCTGATTGGTCAAGAATTGCATCCTATTTTGCAATAATCACCTAGCACGAGGTAATTATATCTCGAGATGGCTGTTTTGCGCTTTGGCATAATTCGTAGGAAGCAATAAACGCAATGGAAGAAAATACAATTCTGAAGAGCAAAATGACGCTACAAAATTTGGTGCAACAACTTTCAAAGGAAAAACATGAGGCTTCTGCTATTTAAATTAGAAAAATCAGTGAAATTCAGGTGGAAACTGGCTGCTTATCTCGATACGAATAATCAAAACAATTGTAACTAAATGGTTTCAACAACAAAACAAATTTACTGCAGAATTCGAAAGCACCTGAGTAATTGTACTAAAACAATTATACGCCTTCGACGAGTACTTGTTCAACAAAAGATAACAGATGACGTCAAAATGTCTCATGTGCTACTTTTTTATGCTTACCACATTCTGACGTCACCAGTGATTTATCAGAGAGGTTAAGCACAGTGTTTACGGCATACAGGAAACGACGAGGCGCACTTTTCCTACCCTTTTTGACGATTTTTGTTTGCTCTCCAGCATTTTCAATGTAAAGGGGGAAGGTTTCACGTTAATGAAAATGTAAGTGAAAAGTGTTTTCTTTTATGTTGTTGTAAAGTATTAGCAATCGTGTGCTCCGAGGCAAAGCTTCTTTACTTCTTCTTTGAAGTAAAACAACTGCCTTACATGACCACCTTGCATTGACTTTACCAAGACATCACCGGAAAAATGAAAAAAACTTAAGCAACACGAGCTTCGTGCAAATTCTTTGTAATAGTGACTTTAGGATTTAAGGAGATTAAGGAGGTTGCAAAGAAAACTTTCGAAACAATGGAATGCGCTGTTTGGGGGGTATTCGCAAAATGGTCTTAAATGAAAAGGGAAATACCTCTTCTTGACGTAATGGAAATGTCATCTTCAGAACCCGAACTGTGTGGTTCACTAGACGATGTCTCCAAATCGCCTAAATATCTTGCGTCCTTTGACAGTACACTTATGAGATGACAGCTTTCGTTCTCAGCATTAAACTCTACTTGGTTGACGAGAAAAAAAAACCATTATGAGATAATTTTAACGTAAAAAGACCTACAAGGTTCCATAAAGCTTGCGTTGAAATAGAAATGCGCTTATTCACTTTCTCAGACAATAACCATAAACTCATTTCTGTTTGACTAATATGTATATTGTCTTAATTATGTTAGCCCTGCATCTGAAATAAGTTGCAACTATCATCAAATGAATGACACAAGTGCAGTGTACCCGTAAAAATATTTCTTGATCACGCATATGATCACTCTTCATCTGTGTTAACATCTCTGGCAAGTATGATGAGAGTGATCACAAATTAACAGCGACAAGGGCGTTCACAATAGGTGATCATGCTTCAGACCGTTATTATTTGTGTTGAAGGTGATATCACACGATGCTGTGGGGGATTCTAGTTGCGAAATTCCTAAACATCGTGATGGTGAGGATTCTCACTTGTGGGTTTCTATATTACAGGTCGTATCCTTGCCATGGGCAGATTTTACCCTTGTCCAACACTTGTGACAAATTGATCTAGACCACCCTTCATGTTGTGATGACCAAGTTTACTAAGTTTCTCTTAGTTTAAACAAGGTGTCATAGACATCACTGATTTCAGCAGTGTAGAGGGTGCATAAGTAACAAGTGAAACCAGATATGAAACTTGAGCACAAACTGAAGCTCAAAATGTAAGAGTGATTAAGTGTCGCTCAGTTACCATGCTTACTTTGAGCTTCCTCGGCAGCAGCCTGTGCAAGTTCTGACCAATTAATTTTCTTTGGATATTCGTTTGAAGCAGAGATCTCTACTGAAAATCTGCCGGTTAAAAAAAGTTAAATTCACTACAAACTACATGCATCTACTCACTACAATAAATAAAAAACAAATGCATGCATGCATCTACACACAACGATAAATAAAAAAACATAAAACTTATCTCTGATAACCGTATTGGGGGGGGGAGCTCCATGTTACTTGGTGCATCAAGCCTTATTTTGAGACTACCCCTTTGTTTCCTGGTCTCTCACCTCGGTGTCAAGTAATAAAATTACCACTAAAAGTTGTTTGGATGCATGCAGTACCACTAAAGTACAATCCTTGTCACTATGAAATCACGACAAGATTTCTAACTTTCAGTTCTATGGATGATGTACCTCTTGGTCACGCCTTCCAGGTAACAAGCAGTCTCGTTGTGGCCATAATCTCTCGCGACCACCTCAGGCAATGGTCGACTGTCCTTGTAAGCATCGAAGACCAGTCTTCCAGCCGAGGTGGAAAGGATCATCTCAAGAAACTGCTGAACGCCCTCTCTTGCAGCAGAATAAATCAGGAGACATAAAAACTGCACTTGTTGTGCATTTCCTGGAAATAAAAATTGAAAAAAAGGGAACAAAAGGAAATAAAGGGGAAAGTTATAAAATACCAGTCTTGTAATTGTGTAATATATAGATTTAGCCGAGCCTAAAAGCGGACCTTGCATTTTTTCCCGCACTTCTCGTACACAAAACTAAAGCCCCTACTATGGATAACATGCGTATATTAATGGCTTTTCATTCGCAACTTCTCCTTATCCGTGTAGAGAACTGATTCTATTATCGATGCTATAGGGTTAAATTTTTAGGTCAAGAGGCAATTTTTGGGGGTCTCCCTAAAAAAGCTTGCAGTGAGATGTTGAAAATTTTCAAAAGCAGGGAAGAAAATTGTGCAAACCGTTCAAAAGTTTTTCCAACAATATGGAACAAGAAAATGTAAATTAATCTCAAACCCGGAGTCTCTTCAGTTATGTACAAGTGTTGCGCACACGTTGCGCTCAAACGTTCGCTGAACAAGAGTAAAGCTATGACACTGATGTGCCCGCGGTATAGTTGGCCGTGCATGCTAAAAGTAGCACCTTGTACGTACGTTGCCTTGTGACTATAAAGTAAATATTTACTGAGGGCATCTTATCATATGAGATAAAAACTTACCAAAAGCTCCATATCTTTGTGGGTCTCCATCACTGCTATCAAAACTGCTGGCAGTGTGGTATCCCACTTCCTCACTGAAGTTTTTAAATTGGTTTAGGTTTTGAACCATGGCAACTGCTTCCACTTCATCAGGAAAGTAAAAAATTTCAGTTGACCCTAGACGGGTATCGTTCTGATCTTCCAAGATCACTTTGGCCCAACCAGATGATGGTGCCCCTGAAATAAATTCATTGAAAGTTGAAGATGTAGAAGTGCTGTAGCTAAGTTGACAATATTTGCTGGCTGAAAATCAAAACACATCCATATAGTTCAACATCAATATAGCTGCAGCCTTTTACATATAAATATGATAAAAAATGAACAATGCTGTTGCGTAAAAAAATTAAAGGAATATTTAATTAAATAATGTAATATTACTTCTTAAATAGGGTATAATTAGTAACAAGCAACAAACCTGGGATAGGGCGTCCAAATATACCTTCAGGTGTAATGGCCAGTTTAACATTGCCAAAGATGACCTCTGCCTTGACAAATACTGCATGGACAGAGGTAACATTTGTGTCGAGACATGGATGAAATGAGACCCAAAAAGGACCTCCACCCTAGAGTAAAGGAAGGATTAAGTATCTTTAGGAAAGGAGGCAAGTTTCTAAAGAAACTGTGGAGCTGTGTCAGTAGGAGAGTATATCAGGGTAATTTGGTTTTATCAAGTGAGTTGAAAATGTAAATTGGCCATGGTGGCTGTAAAGAGTTTTTAAGCTACGTTTCAATCATTTGCCTTTCATCAATCATTCTGATGTAGGGCTGTTACTCAACTCAAGAGTTCCCTCATGCAGCTGAGCTTCTGATATTATGTGATGGTATAGTTTCTCACAATTGGACTAAAATCACCTCCAATCCAAAGTTTGAGGAAAACTATAATTATAATATTATTTAAAGAAGCAAATTAAGCAATGTGGCTACATATGAACAATGTGATCGATATTCATGTAATCTATATTTCCTCACATATTAGCAAACCCAGCTTATTTATAATTTCATCTAAATCAAGAAGGGGTGCTTATTGGAAGGAGGGCACTATATCAAGGGGGATGCTTCAATTAATGTACAATACAGAGTCTGATGTAGTTGAAGCTTAAAAAGTTTTTAAGCTTTTTTTTTTTTAAGTTCCCTTTTGTAAAGAAACTGCATGATTAAGGATAGTCTATCCCACTATGACCATTCTTAACACATAAAATAACCTTTAGGATGTAGAATTTCTTTTTTTTTTTCAACAGATCACATTAAGGCCTAATTACAAATGTGAATTTGTTTTCTTTTTTCAGTTGCAGAGAGTTACAAAATTTTTCAGTCTCTAAATTAAAGGTTATGATTACATGTACTTCAAAATTACCATCCCATACTCCCAGTCTTATGAATTTATATGCATGTCACACCCATCACCCAGGGCAAAAACTTAACTCAAATCACGAAATCACTAGCAGTTATAAACTATTAGGCACCTAGGCAGACTTTACCTTCAAACGACTCTCTTTAGGTTCCATATCAACCTCATAATCAAGGTCTCCTAACATCTGCAAAGACCTATCCTCTAGAATGTGATAAGAAGTCAGAGAAAGATAATTAAGTTATTCCTACAGTTAGGAAATTCAGAGTAGCTAAAATGCATTGCTTTCTGTGCATATATAAATTATAACATGCATACCAGATATCAAAGTAAAAAAAGTCTCACATCACAGACAATTGGGCTGGATTCTTTGTGACAATTACCTTGTGTCAATTCTGGATCACTGACTGATATCCCACTTGTCTCAGACTAAGAAAGATGATCACAAATAAAACTTAAATTAATAAAATAATGCACTTTATTTTACAGTTTCAGTTTCAATATCATTAATATTAAACTTTCATTCAAAAGTAAAACAAGAAGATGGATTGCATCAGGTAATTAAGTTCCCTTAAGCTCACCCATTGTGAAGTCTAATAGCAAAATTTTGCATGTACACCAGGTTTGTACTGATTTCAGTGAATGCTTTATCACTCACTCACTGCTCTGCATGTGCATGATTAGTCTTGCAAAGTAACCTAATAATAAACTTTATTCAAGTGTCTATACACTTAAGCCATATCAGCTAATTGGGGATACTTATATAAATAAATATATGTATATATAAATGAATGAAGGGGTACTGAGTCTATTGGCATAAAGTGCTCAATGCTGTGGTAGCAAAGCTAAGTATACATAAGTTAAAGAATTAAAAGGATGCATCGATTCTCTGTGACTCTGAGTTTTGCACCTAAGCGAGTGTCAGACAGAACTTTCTGTCTGACGAGCGCTTAGGTGCGAAACTCAGAGTCACAGTGAATCAATGTGTCCTCTCTAATTCTTTAACTTATTTATATAAATATATACATATATACACACAGATATATATATATATATATCTGTGTGGGGGTAGACTCTACCTTGGCATAAAGTGCTCAATGCTGTGAAAGAATCAAAGAGGACACATTGATTCTCTGTTACTCTGAGTTTCACGCCTAAGCACTTAGCTTGTCAGACAGAAGTTCTATTTTATTTTATATAAATAAACATGTGCAGTTCTAAATGGGCCTATCATACTAAAAATATGAAAAATATATGTACATATATCATTATACAAACAAAATTAAAAATTTGATTAAATAAATAACAAAATGAAAGTTTAAGAACTACAACAAGTGTTTACCAACCCCCATTTGTCATTCATCAGGTGCCAGGCCAAACCAATCTTCCTTTTCTTATAATGATTAAATATCTTTAATTTGTCTCCTATTCACTCCACAAGTATGGACCAAAGTATTTTTCAGAATTTTTACCAGAAGTTATGGAGTTATATCATGGAATCATGAAGTCAGACCTAGTTACGTAGATTGTAATTAGTGTCCAGTCTCTGAATTAACTCAGAAGTATACTTTGGAGATATTCCATTTTTCATCTCAAACATAAAAATTGCCAAATATTGCAGTCCTCTGCTGTAAAAAATTTGGTAGGCTAGCCTTCTTGTCATTAATTACAGTTCTTAGACCCTTCTTCTGCATTCTCTTAAGTTTGCATTTATCAGATGCTTTTGTAAACAAACATACAATTGAACAATTGTTCAGTCCAAGAGGGATTACAGAGCTGAAAAGACACAACAAGGTCTTCTCAGGAACAAGTTGCCCCATCCATGACAGATTTATTGCAGAATGGGCTTCGAAACACATTTCTGAACTGAAATATTCACCACGATTAAGTTTCCTATCTATAACACTTCCTAATAAACTTAGAGAGTTTGTGTATTAAATCTCCTCATCATCAACAGTAACAGGTGTCTCTGATGTGTCTTTCGCTCTGGAAGCTAGGAAAATTGCTTAAAACTTGTCTTCATTTGTTAATAGGAAATTGCTTTTATACCAGTTAGCCACAATCACTGCCTCATTATTTATGGTTGACTGTCACAACATGATCTGATCAATTCAACTTGAGCCAGATGGAAAACTAAACTGTTGTTTAATACCTTTAAAATGATTATGCACCCTAGGAAATAGGTGATTCCAGAAAATATCTAATATACTATAATAAAAGCATCCTCTTGTAATTCTTATTTCATAGAATTCTAGGCCAAGGCAGTGTGACGGGTGAGAGGGTTCATACTGGACAGGAATTCCAAAGTCATTAGGAGGTCTAATATTCCCTATGAATTTCTGTGCATAGTAGTTCCCTGGTTATTGTATTGCACTGCAAGTCTTCTTTAATTTTTGCAGAACAACCATTTTAGATAGCAGATAGGGTTAATTGATATGCCCAGAGGACAGTTGTCCTCTGTTCCACCATTGTTCCCCATAGGTACGTTGTACAGTCGTCATTCACAACATCTGTTCTTGTGATAAGCATTTACAAACCCACTCAGCAGTTCTAAATTGGGGTTACCCAAAAACTCCTATGTAAATATGAACTGTACTCAGTAAGACCACAAAAAAATTATCTTTTTGGCAGTACCCAATAGACAGATAATTTTAGGAGAATTTATCCAAATAGCATATACTACTTAACAACAGAGCTTGTACAGATTTTTTAATTGCTGCTGTCTGGAAATGTTTATAGGCAGACAAATAGTAATTGAAAGGGGACTAAACAATTTTAACCAAAAAATTCCAAAAGAGAAGGCAGGCTAATGAGGGTGTGTGGGGGAAATAACATTATGGCTATTACACCAAGGTGTTAAACTTCAAAATAATGTCCGAAATATACTTAAAACGCCAACATTTACTGGAAGTCTATTTCAAATTACCTGATCACCCGCAAGTTCTTCACTTGATCCAAAAAGTGAATGAAACACTTTGGAAGGCAATTGGAACTCTCTCTCAACAA